AACAGCTTGTCGCTATGCCTTGTGCTTGACCACTTCACCTCACTCTAACAGGGACACTTGCTACTGAACATAGACTATACATAGACTATACATATACATATACATAGACACAACATAGTAAATGCTGGTCCCTAATAAAAAGTAAAGTAAGTAAATGTTTCTGCTGATACCTGTTCAGAAAAAAACAAAACAAGAAAACAGATTTATGTTAACCTGTTGCTCAGAAAGTGCCTGTTATGATGTTATGATCGTGGCTCTGGACTCTGATGGTAACTTGTTTTAACAAGCTAGATAAAAGGTAATGCCTTGGCAGTGGCAAATAGCTTTGGTTTTATATTTGATTTGATTAATGTTTTACTTGCTACTGTGTAAAGGGAATACTGCTGGTAAAAACACCTTATTTCTTTAAAGTGTTTGCAAACCACATGTTATTGCAGTTTTGTGTATATAGCAGTACATTTTAATTAAAAGTGCGCAATACACGACTTTAGAATTCATTATTCAATTTTGCACATAACAATACGATTAATCGCAGAAAATCATGTGATTAATCGCGATTAAATTTATAATCATTACCCAGCATTAATATAAATATATATATTTTTAAGAAAGTACCATAAGGTGACTCCTAGTGTCAATACTAGTGCCAGCATTCTGAATGGGATGATGGGAGTCTTGTTTGAGTGAATTTCTCTTAGGTTCTTAGGTTTTCACCAACCACTTAAACAAATATGTAACTACAATAAATAACTACAATAACCTACCTCAAGACAATTTACAGTGCACATACCTACAATTAACACCAACAGCCAACACATTCTCACTCCTAGCTCATCACATATTGACATCTGGTCAAACCCTCTTGGAATCACTTTTTAACGCCCTGGGTACCCCTTTAGCTTTAGCGTAAACCCTGCCAGATCGCCCGCTTTAGCTGCTTCTAAGCTGCTTAGATTGTGCATACAAATTAATGTTTAAATTTATGATCAATATGTCGATAAGGACATGCTATACATCGTTAGATCAGTTAGATTCTCCACAATTCAGTTCAGTACATTTAACAGAAACAACTAGCCCCAAAGTCTAACTCTTATAGATTTACCAGTGTAACCGGCATGGTACAAGAGATGAAAAAAAAGTGCCAAAAAGAATCAAAACAGCTCAACTCAGCTCAACTCAACTTTATTTATAGAGCACTTTCAACACCACAAGTGGAACCAGAGTGCTGTACAGAAGGTATAAAAGAGAAAATAAAAACAGAGACAAAAAAACACAGCAAACATATAACATACACAAGTTACAGAGCATTATCAAATGCTAAAGAAAACAAATAAGTTTTAAGTGCACTCTGAAAAGTACTCAATGAAGGACAAGTTTTTCACCTTTACATTTTAAACGGGATTGCGGAACCATGAGAAGCAATTGATCATTTGGAGATCTACTGGATTGACAGCGGCTGATTAAATCACTAACATACTTCGGTGCAAGGCCATACAGAGACTTAAAAACATACAACAACGCTTTGTATTGAATTCTGTATCGTATGGGTAACCAATGTAATTTAATTAACACCGGAATAATGTGCTCTCTCTTCTTAGTACCCGTTAAAAGTCTGGCAGCTGAGTTCTGAACGAGCTGCAAACGGGAGAGAGAAGCCTGACTCATACCCAGCACATTACAATAATCCAAACGGGATGACACAAAGGCATGAACAACCTTCTCCATATCGTCAAAAGAGAGGATAAATTTCAATTTAGATGTTGATCTAAGATGGACGAAACTATTTTTAACGACAGCATTGATTTGCCAGTCAAATTTAAGCTCAGAGTCAAGATTGACACCAAGGTTCCTCATACTACACAGTTTTTTCCCAGAAAACAACCCCAGGCAGTCATCATCCACACACCCCTTATTTCCAAATAAAATCCTTATCCTCATTTAATTGGAGAAAGTTATTTGCAAGCTTATATATATTATAGCAACACTTAACTTCAGCCAAACATGCATGAAGAGACTGAATGGCACATTGATGCCCATGTTTCGATGATAAGTAAATTTGAGAATCATCCGCATACAAATGATACTGAATCCCAGATTTCTCAAAAATGGAACCTAGAGGGAGCATATAAAGGGAAAATAAAAGTGGTCCCAGTATAGAGCCCTGTGGAACCCCACACACAAGAGGGGTAACAGAAGAAAAATAATCCCCTAAACTGACTGAAAAAGTCCTATCCTTCAAATAGGAAGAGAACCCTTTCAGGGCTAAGCCCTGAATACCAACCTGATCCCTAAGACGATCAATGAGAATGTTATGATCAACTGTATCAAATGCCGCTGTAAGATCTAACAAGAGCAAAACAACACGGTTTCCAGAATCAACACCTCGTAGGATATCATTAGAGACCCTCAAAAGAGCAGATTCTGTACTATGACCAGCTCTAAAACCTGACTGGAATCTATCGGAAATCTTATTCCTCATTAAGAAGTCATTAAGCAGTGCATTTACATTTTTTTCCAATATCTTAGAAATAAAAGGTCATTTTGAGATCGGACGAAAACTACTCATGTCATGTCTACTCATGTCTCACCGCATGCTTAAAACTAACCGGAACAACACCAGATGACAAGCTAACATTCATAATAGACAGAATACTTGGGCCAATTGAATCAAGTACCTTCTTGAGAAGAAGGGAGCACATCACCAGAAGACCTGGTGGGCTTCATATGAACAGTTATATCATTAAACTGCTGCAAAGAAACAGGCATAAAACTAGTTAATTTGTTCGTAGGGTCAACAGAAGGAATAAAATCAATGCCAACAGATGAAAACTGAGATCTAATTCCTTACCAATAAAAACGTTTAAGAACTCTTCACACGTCAGCAGAAGGAGTGAATGAAAGAGTAGCAGTATGATGAAGAACAGCCTTTACAGTAGAGAAAAGTACTCTAGAATTATTATAGTTTCTGGAAATGATGACAGAGAAATAATTTGATCTAGCCAATTTAACAGCTCTTTGATACTCGTTCAAATGGTTCTTCTAAATCTCATAAGAGACTTGTAATTTATCTTTAACCCATTTGCGTTCAGCCCTCCTACACTCCTGTCTAAGAGCACGGGTAGTACTGTTCAACCAGGGCTGCGATTTTACTTTTTTCCCCCTGACTTTGACAGGAGCCACAACATCTAAAATCTCTAAACAAGAGAGAGTTTAACTGATCGACCAACTCTTCTAAACCCATACAGGGAGAGTGTGACTCGCTCAATCCAAAGGTATTAAAAGCAGCTGAAAAACTACTAGCTGTACATGGATTGAGTATGCGAGATGAAACCGAGACAGAAACAATATTACCCAGTGCACTACAAGGAAAGTTAGAATTTAAAATAACAGTCTTATGATCAGAAAAAACAGTATCAACAATCTTCACGCTATCAACAGTGAATCCCAGAGATAATACAAGGTCAAGCGTATGACCACGTTCATGAGTTGGACCCGAAATGCACTGTAAAAAATCTGAAAAATGACTCTAATAAATTTAAAAATTCTTTGACCAGGGGCTTTGAAGGGCAGCACGCATGTATATTAAAATCCCCCCAAATTAAAATATTGTCAAAAGAAGGAACAATACCAGATAAAAATTCAGAAAGCTCCTGGATAAAATCCCCATGAAAATTTGAGGGTCTATAAATCAAAACACATAACACAGATTTAAAAGATTTCAGCGTAATTAACTGAGATTCAAGTGCAAAAGGACACAGAAGGTAAAAGTCTACACTTAAACTTGTCTTTAAAAACAACCACCAACAACAAAGACCCCTGCCACGGCCAACAGACCATGGCGGGGGTCTTGCACTGCAACCAGGAGGAGAAAGTTCAGAGAGAGAAGTCATTTCACCAGCATTAAGCCAAGTCTCAGTAACAAATAAAAAATCTATTTCATGAGAAAGAAAAAGATCGTTCATAATTTGCCGTTTCCTCTACATGCACAGACATCCCAGCAGGTAACACATTTTCCTCAATGCGACTGACACAAAATGCGAGTGCAGATGCCAATCAACTCTGGGACTGCGAAATAAAAAATAGGACACAGCAGATCGGATATTAAATAGCGTCATGCGATCATATACCAGAGGGGAGCAAACAGAGCGCGTGATAAAACAAACAAACATTACAAATAAAAAAGACAAGGACAGACTGTGGCGAGCCGGCAAACATCTTGGCGCCATCTTGTCTAGCTCTTTATAAAAATGAATCCAAGTTGTGAATACTGTCATGTGAAGTCCATCAGTCTCTGTCTGCTATCTTCTGCCATACTTCACTCATCCTGCACCATGTTGTTGGGTATGTTTTTTTTTGTTACGTTGCTACCTACAAAATAAAAGTGCATAAGCCTTTTGTCGGAGCTAGATCAAATGACGTGTATGAATGACGTGAATAACGTGTATTTGATATTATTTGATATTTTTTATACAAGTAATATTCATACTGTTTGAAATAAATAAACTTTTTATAGTAGCCTATTTCAGTTTTGTGTGAAAGGAATTACAGGTGTGTCCCATATGGATGCCTGTCCCAAATATAGGCAGGGTCAAATCAGTGATTTTAGTGATGTCCAGTCAAGTTAGCAGGTTGGTAGATTTTTCCTCCACAATTTTGTTTCCACATTGTTGGTGTGTCACGACCTCCTGACCGTGACCCTGGCTGGTGACACAATGTGTGCATAAGTGGCTTTTGTTCATTTCTTGTTTTTTCTCTCCTGGAGTTGTTGGGCGTGGTCTCCGGCTCCTCGATATGGCTGTGGCACACCTGATCTCATTCACCCATCAGGCACCCGCTCTGTATTCCACAATCACCGTACACTATTTAGACCTGGCCAGCTCTCCAGTCCTTGCTGGATTGTTGTGTCCTCAGAGTACGTCACATCCAAGCCTACTTTTCCAGCCTAGTTGTAGTTCAGGGTTTGCTTACATGCCCTCTAATCACGACCTTTTCTCTGTCTTCAGGAATGTGTTCTGTTTCTGTGGATCACCAGCCTGTCCGCACAGACATCCGGATTCCCCACTTCGCGTTTCCAGTCAGTCCACCCAGGGTCCGGGATCCAAACGGATCGGGGCAGGGTCGACCCTCTTCCGGACCATTCAGTCAGTCTGTTGCAAGTACAAATGCATTTTCAGATCAATGTTGACAAACATGAATATTTTTGCAAATAGTAAAATTAGAGAGTTTTTCTAGTAAGCAGAAAATGATAAAAGGATATGTCCCCCCTTGAATATCCAATGAAAATTGAAGGTCAGTATTTTTCAAAGTAGAATGAGGCTTAATTTAAAAAAAAGGCATTACAGTCATACAATGACTCTCTGACAAGAGATAGTTTTGGCCAACTAATGGTTCTATCTAAACAACACATTAGGCTGTCTGTCAGTGCCCTCTACAATGACCCTTATCAGCGCTTTGAAAAATGACTCCTATCACTCTAATGGGTGAGGCCAGTGAAAACTGCTTCTTACATTGTGTAAATGCTGGGTTAAGATTGGGGAGGGATCGCCACCATGGTAAGAGGAACACTGACTCATGGATTGTCCGTTTTTTTTTCACCGTGACCTCCTCACCTACACTTTTGATGCAATTATTAACTTCAGACTCCATGTGTAACTGAATGTAATCCTTGTAATGTAAATGTAAACATTTTTTACATTAACATTAACAACAGTAAATATTTACAGGTATAACTTTATAGTATATTAGGGGAATGTTACAGTAATCAAACCATGATCCAAATAATACATACAGCCACATCTAATGAACCAGAGCATACAAATGCTTAGATATAACTTAGATTTTAAATACATGTAGCATTTTGATAAATGATATCAATGTGAACGAGATAAAGTCTGCATTGAGGGATTTGTGCTGTTGAAGATGTGTGCTCATTCTCCTAATCTCAAGAATGGTATGCAATTAAACTATTAGACTGTGGAGGGGCAGCAGAGAAGTGCATTATACTACCCCCCCCCCCCCCCACATACACACACACATACAGAACTTGTAAAGGCTAAAGATTTTTAATCATCACCTACAAGAGTGAGTGGCTGTCACTGTCAATAGAAGTTTGATGGTAATGATTAGTAGCTACTATCAACATCTAACCTGAATTTAGCACTTCATAATATGTTTACATTGTCTTTAGGATGTTGTATACAAATTGTACGAAAACACATAATTTTATAAAATCTGAAGATCTGTGGTGCTGTGGTGTGATGCAGTGGAACAGGAGATGGGGTCCAAATCCAAAAGATGTGGGGTAGGCATGAAGTTAGAGGCAGATGACATGACCATACCTCTTCCTCTTTTTTTCATCCCTCCTCTCATCTTTTTCCTCATACTCAGCAGTTTCCTGTCTTTTTCAACTCCAGGGAAATGAATCACTGAGGATATTTTACCTGCTACATGAATGAGTACTTCTGGGCGTTAGCTCTTCTGCGTGGGTCATACACACATACACATGGACACCCACGCATGGATGAACCCAAACTCACTGCGCACACACACACACACACTTGCTGAGTCACCTTGATGGGAATATGGTAGGCACATTCAGTATGTGCACACTCTTTGGAGCACACATACAAAGTTGACACAGTAACACAGGAAAATGGTTTTGCGCATTATTCTTCTTGATTGTCATGTGTGTATTATCTTGTCATCTGTTGAAACTACCACTTAGAGATTTGCTCTTTGTGTGCTTTTCTTTCTGTGGACCTACCTTTATATGTCATGGTGCAGTAGTTGTATATGCATGTATTTGTTTGCCTGTGTCCCTAAATACCCGTGTGTGTGTCTGTTGGCAGCCAGGTGCATTACCCTGTCAGAGTGCGGAGCCTGGCTCATATCTTACCTCTAACAGCCAGATAGGAAAACCACTCCACTTTTGATTCGAGGTGAGAAAAGTGGTTTAGCGCACCTCTCTCATATATCTCACTTTCTCCTTCTCCCCATCTCTTCCCTCACTCCTTTTTTACTTTTATTTGTCAATTTCCTCTCATTCTAGCTCAGCTGTCAGTAGGGATGTAATGTAATCTCACGTACCTGTCGCTAAAGCTTCATTTCATTTCAACTTACCAAAGAAACTAAAGGAACTAAGAACACAACTTTTTTTTTTTTGTAGTTTAACTGGAACTTCAGACACCCTTAATTGTTAAATTCCTTTGAAAAATAATGGTTCAAATTGGAAAAAAAATTATTTTTGAATGTTTATGATGATCAGGACATTTTTTTCACACCATTAAATTAAAGCTGAAAGGCAGCATTTTAACCTCATTGATATGGCTTTATGAAATGGTTGCTTTCACTATCACTGCATCACTGATTATTTGACTAGTATACCTGAATCACTTCTGTTCTATGCTTTCAATGTAACTGGATTTAGTACAAAAATAAGGAATAATGTTTCAACCAAAAAAAATATTATTATGTTGTATGAGGGTAAACAGTGATACTGAGACAATAATGATAATTATTCTCAAGTAACTATATGGTTATATGGCATTCAGTTATTTTATCTTTAAAAAAACAAGTCCTAAGGAGGATACTAGCGTCAATATAGTTTGGGATTTCTCATTGAAATTGTGTTTGCCTAAATTGTGACCTTTAAGCATGATTTATACTTCTGCGTAGAATCTGCGCCATAGCCTACGCGTGGCCTTGTACCCTACGCCTGACGTGTACCTCCCAAGCGGCAACCTCTGGCTCTCACTAGTGAAGCCAGTTAAACCTGCATTATTTCTAATGGCCAGCAGGGGCCAACTCTTCCTTCCATCCATCCATTGTCAACCGCTTATCCTGCGTACAGGGCCACGGGGGGCTGGAGCCAATCCCAGCTTACATCGGGCAAAGGCGGGGTACACCCTGGACAAGTTGCCAGTCCATCTCAGGGCCACACATAGACAGACAACCACTCACACTCACATCCACACCTAAGGACAATTTTGGAGACACCAATTAACCTAGCCTGCATGTCTTGGACGGTGGGAGGAAGCCGGAGCACCTGGAGAGTACGGACACATGGAGAACATGCAAACTCCACACAGAAAGCCAACTCTTGTGGTTTCAAAAAGAAGTCCTGTTCCATTAGAAATTATGGTAAAATTACCTTACTTTTCATCTGATTTATTACCTCGGTAAACACTTTCCTAATGAGTTTATGGTCTCAGTCACTATTTTCAAGTCTTCTTTAACACAGCAGGATGTTCATTTAGCAAATTATAGTTCCATTTCCCCAGCAGGGGATGCTTTAGGAGAGACTACCTTTGTGATTGACAAGTTGCTACCATGGCAACTTGTCAATCAGGCTAGAGTGACTCATATCCACTACACTGTATAACTTTAGCTAGCACTGTCAAACAAGCTTATTAGGAGTCGGCTATTAATTTTTTCCGGTAAGTACATTTTGTTTTAAACCTGTTTTTAGCTAGCCAAACTTAGCATCCCAGTTCGAATCACAGTAAATGTGAATTAGGGATGGACCTAACTAACCAATCAACATGGCGGCAGCCAAACTGCCAAACTTAAAACTGTTGGCCTGGTTCTCCCGCGTTGTCGCTCCCTGGCAGCGGGGAGCTTCCCGGCACGGCTTTCTGCTGTTCTTCCTTGGGACGGGGTGCAGCTTCCGCCAGGACATGCGGTCTGGGGTCCTTTGGGGGGTTGCGGGGTGGAGGTCTCTGGGAGCTGCGCAGGTAGATCCGGTTGCAATTGTCGATGCATCTTGATGCATTGTGGGGTTTTTTTGTTTGTTTTTTTTCCCCTCCCTGTGCAGGGTCTCTGGATGGCTGCTGGGTGTTTAGTTTGTGCATTGGAGTCCGGGGGAGGCATTTCCTCGTTGGCTTGGAGGGACCAGTTTGCATCCCTGGTTTGCTTCTTTGGCCTCAGATCCATGCTTTCCCATTTCTCTGTCGGCCAGTTATTAGACCCCTCTGGATACTGAAGTATAAAGTTAGTTTTCGGGATGTGCAGTGTGGGTGCGGGGCAAGGCTGTGCTCCGTTTTATTCTGGGCTTGTGCCTGGAGTTCTCGGCCCTTGACGGGTGGGTGGGTAGGTGGTGGCATGCAGCTGAGCTGGTTGATTTTGCCTCGTTGCTGGTTTGGCTGGTGTTGCACGGCGGCCTGGGGGCGTGCTGTGCATGGGGGATGTCGGCTGGTGCGGTTGGCCTTAGTTTTTCCGGCGGTTGGGGGGACGGCAGACTTTTATTGGCGGGTGCACGGTGATCTGTGCGGTTCGTTTGCTGCCGGGCTGGGATTCGCCGCTGGTGTTTCTCTCCGCTGGCTTTCGCTGTTGTGTTCTGCCGCTCGTTCTCTCTCGTTTGCCCACCTCACATGCGGGATTCGCAGGGGGCTGCCAGGCATTGGGTGTCACAGTGCTCGCGCAGTGCGCGCGTTGGGCTCGTCACTTGTGCGGCGGTGGGGTGCTGGGTGGGGGAAGGGGGGGGGGAACTGGTCTATGTTGTGTGCGCGCCGCGGTCGGTCCGGGTGCTGCTCTTCCGCGGGTTACGCCTCTTGCGTGGCATTGCGTTGTCAACTGGCATTTGGATGATTTTATTGGATGATATGTATTTTTGATTTTTATTTTTTTTGGCCCTCTGTTGGTTGGGTCGGGGTCGGGGTCTTCCACGTTACACATACAGACACATTCACCCACACACACACAGACACAAACAGTCCCACACATAGACACAAACAAATTTAGGTTGTCCCTGGTACAATTATTCCTGATGCTTTTCTTTCAGTTCCTTATTTAAATTAATAATTATTCCAGCTCTTGTGGCTGTGCTGTGTTGCTCATTTATGTGGTGTGGTGCTGTTTCTTGTTTTCATTTTTCTCTTAGTTGTCTTACTATGTCAGCTGTTTATTGCTGCTGTTCGGCTGGTTGTCTTTTACTATTATTTTTATTGTTTGTTTGTTTTTGTTTGTTTTTCTCCTCCTCAAGCCCCCCCTCTCTGTTCTATTGTTCTATAGGTTTCGTTGCTTTCTGCAATTGGTGTTTCCCTCTGCTATTCCCTGTTGTCCCCACCTTCCATCCCCCTTCTCTTACAGGTGTTGTCCTTTCTCTGTGCTGTCTGTTTGTGCCCCCCCATCCCCATGTCTGCCCCCCTGTCCGGCCCGGTGACAAATCAATACATAATTAAATAAAAAATAAAACAGACAAAGGAGTTTATTAATACTATCTTGTTAAAGTAAAATCTGTCTGGCACAATATGGTATCCAGCTCATCATACTCTATACCAGGCTGCTGGGCAGGACAGGTTTTAAAAAAAAAAAAAAATAACAAAAGTCTGGAAGACCCCATTCAAATTAGCATAGGGCTAAATCAGGCTTAACTCTCACACACAAAAAGTCACACACACTGAAGCCCTTAACTTATAACGTAAAACTTTCTGCAGTCAAATGAGGTATTTGATCAGTGGATCAAATCTGTAAATATGTGATTTTGAGGGTGGGTGATGGAGGATGCCATCTCCTTTGTTGGCAAAATTATTAATCTGCTATCCCCTCCTCCATCCCTTAGTAGTAGAGAGAGTGCCGAGGCAAATGGGTTGTTTAGTTGAATTGTCTAGTCTGCCTGTTTGTGCAAGTCAGAATCTATGGCCTGACTACGGCTCTGAAATATCAGTAGCCTAACTGTTCTGTGTATTGATAAATCCATGGTGCTGTGCATGGTGCTGAAGTAGCAGACAGATTTGTAATTGCATCTCTATCTCTCAGTTCCACCATTCTGTCAGTTTCATCATGTATCCATAATATACTATAAATACTCAATTCTATACTATATTAAAGCCTATCCTCCCTATAGAGTAGCGTCACCTTTATGATGAAAGTGACAAGTAGCAACGTGTAGTCGTGGGGTACAAATTTGAATGATGCCATCCATATAGTAATAATTGCAAACCAGTTGACAATTCAACTCCTTTCACTACATTAATTTCAAGTCGCACTTTAACTGATAGCTTTTAGATTTTACACTTGAACTGACACAAACTATTGTCAGGACAATTAACATTTCAAATATTTTCAGCGCTTGCACCTTAACTCCTTCCATGACTTCCACTTCAACTAATCAAATTCAAATTCACTCAGCATTTAAAGTGAAAGTTAAAGCACATAATCATTTTTACTTCCATTTCTATTTATTTAAATAATTATGTTTGAAATACCACTTACACTTACTGACTTCATTTTATTTAATATCTCAAAATCCATCAATTACTGCATCATGACATTTTAAAAGTGTTAAAATTGTTCCACACTATGTTTTTTAGTCACATATATTCTTGTTGGCATATGATTTTAATCTACTGTCATTGCTCTCTCACTCCTGTGTTGTTTTCAAATGGGTATAGAGTTCTAGCAGAATTTGAGATTGTATTAACCCTTTCAAGACGCTACATGTAAAGACATTTAAAATGTCAAACATTTAAAATGCAAGCACACATTTTCTCCAGTTTATGTTTTCTGATCTGAAACCTGGGACATGGCCTCAAAAAGGGAATAAATAAACCTTCACCTGCACAACAAGCACACTGTAATACAGATATGACATATTTCATAGTACATTTCATAATATATATAGGGAAATACAGACAAGTTTGTCAGTTTAGAATGAATCTTTAATCTCTTCACACCTTGAAAAATCAGCAATGGGTCCTGACTGAGCCTTCAATTTAGATTTCCTGGCTGTCAAGTTGAGCAAATGTGGTGTAAATTTGCCTTGTTATCCTCTGATGTGTTAATTGCATTTCTTTGTTAGTACTCCCCTACGGTGCATTGAGTTGGCCATTCTGCCATGGTCAGCTTGATAAACAACATAATGCTCATGTGAAACAGTTTGTGTTGCACCTTGCTCATTGTGTGAAACGTTTGTGTGTGAAAGTATTTCACTTGTCTACCTCTTTTCATTATCAGTGGGGTGGACATGTTTTTGTGTGGTGGCTGTTGCCAACCTGGTCCACTCCTAGATCCATACCTGTATGAAGTCATGGAGCTGTTAGTTATTGAAATTAGGTAGACCATTATATATTTCTCTAATACTGTACACAAATGCATGAACCCATGTCAAGTGTAGTGTAAATATTACATGTTACAGATCTAATCTTCTTTGCTCTCTTTCCCATCCACTGTCCCTCACTTCCCCCACCCCAGTGCACACAAAGGGCTCAGTAAACAAATTGCTGAAATAAAAGGGATTATTAAAGAGTGCTCCTTGTTTTAGAATATAGCAGTGGACTTTTTTTCTTAGAAATAATTTATTCTCCTCTGTATTTTGGTTTATGTTCCCTCTTTCTTTGTTTCTCCAGTGACCTGCCTCTCTCTATTTCTCTCTATTTCTCATTGCCGTCGTAGGTTTTATGGGTCTGAATGTTGATGTCAGTCGAGACTGTGGCTGAGGGCCAAGAGTAGAGTAGGGAGGTATGAAAAGATGGATGAGAGGAGCAAGAGATTGAGGGAGGGGCGTTGGTGGCGAGAGTGGCAGAGATTTGCAAACAAATTTAATAACTAGCCTGCAGAATGGAATCACTTTGCTAGCTTTAGAATTGCTTACCTCCCTGAAAGAGAGTGAGGAGGAGCGAGAGAGGGGATATCGAAAAAAGAGAGGGTGGGGACGGGGAGGGGAGATGCTCTATTAAAGAGCTGGAGAAAATTTGAAACGTGTCACATCAATTTCAGCCAGTGCAGTTATCAGGGTGTTTGGTTTACACCTGAATACTTGGGGAGAGAAAAAAACATGGAGCAAAAGAGAGTCAGAGAGAGAGAGAGCGAGAGAGAAAGAGATGGAGAGTGCGAAATACAGAAAAGGAGAAGGTGGCAAAAGATAGCATGGAGGACACAGAAACCAGGAGGTTGAGGTAGAAACACACGGACAGGAAGAGACCAATGGAAGCAGATTGAAATGTTCAAGCAGATGTCCTTTACATGAGAACATGTAACTGAGGAAAAGGTCTAATCAGAATATGACACGGTTCATTAAAACTATTGCATTCTGATAATTTTTGAAGAATAACATTTTTGAACAAAATAAAAACCTAATCAGCCAACATCTTGTTCAAAGGGCTCCTAAATAAGACTCATTATCAGTGATGATATTCAGGGTCATAGTAGCAGTATCAAGGAGTGTGATGCCTTAAAAAATGAGGTTGTAATCAGTGCGTTGTTGTTGTTGTTGTTTTTAAAGTATCTGCCACTCAAAAACCCAGAGGACTGAATTGAGATCAGGTCAATCAAAACAATAAATGCTTCATGTTAAGCGAAAACAGTCTTTTATAATTTGCTTGGTAATTAGCAAATTGGTACATGGTAAGTTATTTTTTATTTTTACTGTATTCATTTTATTTTATTGTTGCCCTATATTGAATTTAATTGTCATGCCATTACATACATTCAACACAGACTATCAGCAAGGGCATTTGGGGTTGAATGCATTGCTTGTCTTGAGTTTTATCATGGTTACAAAGGTAGTAATGTTATGAGCCTGGGTAGCACACATGTTTTGAATAGTTTCAATTTCAAAAGAACAACAAATGCTGAATGATGAAAGCTGGGGCAAATAAATGTATAGCCAACAAATCACAAATTATCTTGGATGGATCTCATATTTTAAAATTAATTTAGTTTTAAAGGTATGGTTTATTACTAGGCTAAATATTTGCCAAATAATTTGGCCCTAAGAGTTTTGCTTAGCATTTTGCAAAATGAATCTCATGGTTTAAGATATCCAACCCAAAAGTATTGTTTGACTTGTCTGTAAAGGTTTCTTGCCATGTCAGAAATGATTCAAATAAATTGGATTTGATACGATGAATGTGTGAGAAAGGCAGGGGAGCTATCATGAACCATTAATTCACAGGCTGGTGAAAGTGCGTCTTATGGAGACACTTATTCTTTGCTTGCAACAAACACATTAGCCAAAAATCACATTACTAATAATGTTGTATTTGATCTGAAAATACAAGTCAAGAATAAAAGCATACTCTTCAAACAAAACATTTATTAATTTCAGCTCTCTACAATAAAGTCTCGAGGTTGGTGCATTCAATGTATGCTTTTTTTCTTTTGACCTGCATGTGTGAATACATATCCCAATGATACCCAGTCATTTTCTATGTTGAAACCATCTGTGCAGTCAATGTTTGGTTTAGGTGAGTGGCTGTTACAATCTGCAATTCACATAAAATTATAGCCTTACCACCAACATTCAAAATGCAACATTGAAGAATGAACAGTGCGTTATTAGTGTTTTCTACTATTTTTTTATCAGGTTGTAAAAACAGAGGTAAAACAAGCCGTTGCAAATATTATCACTGGATAAATACACAAAATACTGACTTTTAGTAATTTGTAAGTCAAACTTAAATTGTACATTTGAATATACCTTTAATTTATGTAATCAAAAATGTTACTGATTGTGCCTTTATTGAATATGTAAGATTGGACCATTTCCTGTCCATAATTACCCAGAATCCTCAGTAATTATTTCCCAGCCTGCTTAATAACTCTCTCTTGTGTAACCACGAATAAAGATTATTTTATTGGCCGGGAATTGTGGCTGTTTGATTCGTTAGGAATGGCGATAGTGTCGCCAGTCTGGTTAATTGCTGCTCTGAAATCATTTTAATAAGAACAAATACCCTTGGTGGGTTCTCTCTCTCACTCTCATTCTCTCCATCTCTCCTCCTGCAGACAAACACTAACGGAGAGAGAGAAAGAGATTGAAATGTTCTCGTTAAATGAGATATTAAAGTGTCCCCTCTTTCTAATTATTCCCACTGATTACATGCAACAGTCATGGGTTAGCAAGGCTACCAAAAGTCTTTTTACATGCCAACATATTGAGAGAGAGGATGAATGGAGAATGAAGGAACTGCTCCTATGGGGTTTCTGCCAGACCTTATGTCACTTTAATGAAAAGATAATCTATGCATGATGTATACATTAAAGATTAGACTGGCACCTTCAGATACACATTAGTTTCTGTAACTAATGGGCAATCAATAGCTATCTTGCAAAAGTGCCTATTTATAGTCTCATTGAGGTGCATATAAATTATGTGTACATCCAATGCATGTTTGTCTTTCAGCATTTTGTATTGTATCATGTTGTTTTTGCAGCAGTGGTACACAATTGACACCCTGTATAATTCATACCTTTATGAAGTTTTAAAAGAAAAATGTCCCCTATGACTGTTATACTATTATATGTTATATCATTAGATCATTATTTCTCATGCATTAATGTAGGTGGGCCCACGATGAACCTCCACCCCCACTGTGCTGACAGTCTAGCTCTGCCCCCGAGCCTAACTGATGTAGTTCTACTAGCTGAACTAGTATAAACTGTTAAGTAATTGAATTTATATTAAAACATTTTTTTTTAACTCTTCATACATTTTGTGTGTAAAAAGCTTAGTTTGTTAAAGTAAACTTTAGTTGTCAGATAAAGTAAAAAGTACAATATTTCCCTTTGAGATGTGGTGAAGTAGAAGTAAAAAGTGGCATGCAAAGAAAATAAGTTCAGTACAAATATCTCGGGTACTTAAGTACAGTACTACTTTGTTGTTTGCTTGGCTTTGGCTACCTGAAACTAAGGAAAGGACTAGAGATGTTTTTCTGTATTTTGGCTCTGGACAGAAAGCTATCATCCATCATGATGGTGAAAATGGCTGGCCTTGAGCCACAATGCTTTAAGTGGGAGATCCCTCCCCCAGTCATCAAGGCATTAACATGTGTAACAAACAATTACAACACAAAACATCTTTCATAAGCTGAAACATGTAGCCTACTCATTCACACAGCTTGGCATACATGCGTAGGGCAAGTTCTGCAATCCTAGACCTATGACCTACAATATACATTGAGCACTGCTGTTTGGGGCGACATTTCTTTTTCTTTTTGATACATTTGTATTTATTAAGTATATATATTTAAATAGCCTTTTATCAGATTTACCTATTTTTATAATTTCTATTTGTTCGGGTCAATTATGAACTATAGGTAAAACTTGAGAGAATTGGCTGGGGCCGAGGGGCCGCTGCTGCAAATATTTGGGTGGCTCCTCCTCTAACACGCATTATCCCACTCCAAATTTTTAATAAAACTTAAGAGCCCTGTATTGACAGAAATGCAATGTAAGATCCATAACTATGTTTTCAGTGGTGTATAAAGACCTTACATAATAAACCATTATGCTCTCATTACCTTAGAATGAAACATTTCTATCTACATACACCCCCATCCATGAACGTCGCCACATTGCGTCGTCATGTTTCCACAGTAGCTGAAAACAGACAAAACGTAGGTTCTTCTTGTTCTACTTCTGCTAGAATTCAGGCAGTGTAGACACACATTACTACGTTGAATATGTACGTTAGAAGAAGAAGAAGCAGTAATAATATACAGCATGGGTCTGCAAATAAGTTTAGCATCAGAGCAGTTTTTCAACCGTTAGGTGGTGGGTGAGGATATAAGATGTAATATTAGACTTCATTCCCATGGTTTTCGGTTAGCACCTTGAAGGTTGTGTGTTTGATCACACTTTCAATTTCTTTTCTCTCTACAAAAAAATGGATTATGCAGCATTTCTCATGCTCACATTACGGGATGTGCTGCTGTGTTTTTGTTTCAGTGTTTGATCCCTATTCATCAACCTATGGACGCTGTGAAATTCCCATCTCTTCGAGCTGCTGGGTTGTCTATCTGTTTGTGTTCTATGTTGCAGATGCCAGTAGGTGTGGTTAAGATCTTCAGTTATTGGAGCCACCTGGGCCTGGTGTTCTCCAGTATAAAAGCGCATCTCATGTTCTGCACTCCGGGCTAGAGAGGAGGGAAACCCTGTTCCCCATGCTCTTCCTTATTTTTGTTTCTTTCACCATACAACACTCCACTCACTATTCCTTCAAGCATGTATACCTACTGACATGACTGACCTAATGATTATCACACTTCATAGTATTATTTGAATAATAAGTTCTTTCTGTTTGCTTAAAATTAAAAGTAATGATACCTTTACTACAGTTTTGTCTCATCATACTGTTCTTTTTGTTGCGGTTTTGAGCCAGCCGTGACAACGCTTTTTCATTTCCCCAGTATCTCCAAGCAGAAGATATTTAGGGGAATCATGTTTTCTGACAGTTCTTTCAGTGGTGTGTCAAGCAGGCAACAGACTCTTTTAATGTTCAATGGGTCAGTTCAACTCCAAATAAAGCATCACAGTGAACAAGCTTTTCACGCTTTTATTTTGTAGGCAAAAACAGTAAAGAGGAAGTGATTATGTGAGTAACTGTTGCTGTCATGACTGAGATCTATTTCAGCACCACTATCAAAGTATTTATTTAATTATATTTTTTGACGCTATCAAAGCACCATAATCTGGCTGTGGGCCAGATATTATTGCTGGCGGGCAGTGGCAAGGGTCCATAATCACAGAGAGAATAAACATGTTTTCCTTGTCAATGTTTGTATAAACTTTATCTATCATGTGGTTTATAAGGGACTGTGGTGCAGAAACATTACATGTTATTTGTCAGTGGCCAAGTCTCAATAATATATGGTTTTACTGAATAATTAAATAAATATAATTTCTTAATGTATCTACTTGAAGAAACCTCATTTCTTGACTGGCTACTCTCCGCTGTCTCAGAAAACAACACTTTTTGTGCTGTGCCAGCCACCGTAGCTGTCCTACACTCTTTGAAAGGGTAGGGGGCAGTGGTAGACTGCTGGACAGTTGGTTGCAATTCGCAGCCTTACCGCTAGATGCCACTAAATGTTACACACTTAACCTTTAACTTCTTGTCTAGTCTTTTATTTGTGGCCCTTTATTTAGCACACCTCTTAATGTGCTTTCATTCTTAGTGAGCTTTCATCTGAATCAATAGTGCTGCAAATAGTGTAGCAGTTCAGATTTTTCTGCCAGATCTCTTCCTCTCTTTTCTTCCATTTTATTGCTATTTCCTTCTGTGTAAAGATCAATAGCACTTGGACCTTTAATGGCACAGCACTATTGCTAGTTTTGCCATGTATGAAAGTGAAAATTACCAACATTCAATGGACTGACTGTGTTTGTGAGTTTGTCTGAACGCACTGTGGCTGAGTTTATTGATGGTATCTGATAACGCTGCTGCCTCTCGTTTGTCAAAGGAGATGAGGAAAGACAAAGAGCAAAAACGCGAGAAGAAAAGGCAAATAATTGATAAATTGAAAGAGTGAGAAAGAAAGAAACAGTGAGAGCTCTGTAAGTGCACTGTGTGCTGAATAAATCGAAATGATTGTATGCAATAACAAGCCGAAAAGTATATTCACTACAGTTCATTTGTAGCCCTAATTACTTAACATGACACCCTATTAAACAAAAATAGATGTTTCTGGAAGCATGAAACAGTTTTACACAATATATTTTTGCACGTGTTGCAGTTTGAGGAGTAAAAGTGCATTTGCCAGTTCTGACAACACAGTTTCAACTCCTTCTACTTTCCAGTGTGTGCAATGGCCACATATCACTATTCTGCGAGCTTTACCTTAACCAAAACTTCGCTTCCCGCCACCATATTTAAAAACAATCTGGACTCATACCAGACATCCCCAGTAAGAATATTTCCTTTTATCAAAATTTCAGTGACATGTTGCATCACAGTTTTAAACTGACCTAATCTCCAGAGATATGTTTCAATATGGATTCCATTCACTTTACACAGGGACAAACTCTGCAAAGTCTGGTAACTCTGCCACCGCTGCTCTTTCCCAATGTGTTCAGCAAGATTAATGCTCCACTTCAGTGGTATTATTCTTTGTCATAGCTTCTATTTCAACTGCCATTGTGATGATATCAAGCTGTAGGCCTGTATTTTCACCACACCATCCTAAATTAATTTTACAAATCCAAATTGCCTTTCTCCAACCTGTGAATAATCTGATATTGCCTTTACACTGTAGGTGTAAAAACATGCATCAAAACCGTGCACCACATCCCCTTTACAGCTCTACAGAGTCATACGTGTAACCTTGCAGTCATCATATCACCTGCTCACTAACTCTTACACTTACTAAGTGTCTTCATGTTAAGGCACACTGCAAACACATGCTGTCGCCTCTTCCATCTATGTTTTGGCTGCTTAGCAATGTATCTCACACAGGTTTATGTTGAGCAAAACCATGAATGTGACATAAGATGACCAATGTATGCATTGAAAATGTGTAAAAAAAATTGTCAGCTGCATGGATACAGTATATGTGTGTCTGTTTGTATGCATGTGTATTTGTCTGTGCATTTGAAAGTATGCTGAACTGACTGACTGAATAAAGACTTATTGAGACCAAGGCAACATGACTAAATACTCCTCCTGAGTGTAATTTCACTGAGACCTCTAGACTGCATAAAGTTATGGAATGAATCAGCATGGTGGATTGGCCAAGGACTCTTGTCTAAGGGACAGTCCACCATGACCTCCACATACACATACCTTCACCTTACTAGCTCATTCTTAAGATCACATTATACACCTATATAAAAACAGGTATATACCTCCAGGATTTATTTTTATGAGAAAATCCCTTTATTCTTGTCTGCCAGGAAACAGCTAATTTCTGTGCCATCATCAGCATCCTGGCATGCAAAAATTGTCTCTATTTCTTCTCTTAATTTTCCACTATGGTTAATCTTAATCAACACTATGCAGGGTTTTAGTCATGAGGTGTATCTGGCTCTAAGTGATGACATTAATCACATTACTGAGCTGTATAATGACACATAAACACTATATACACATAATAAGTCAAGTGATGTACAGTATGTCTGGTGATCTCATTCAGTTATGCAGACCTTGCACTACTAGATAATAAGCACTGTATGTAAATGATATCATTCATCACTGAGATCACTGTGAAGTTGATATTGATATTGTGTGTCTTCAAGCATTTCTGCTGTACTAGAATTGTGGGTTTACTGAATTTGTCTAAGTGATGCTTTTAAAGGCCATGGCAATACAGCATTCTGGTGTTCATGGTCTACCAATAGCTGCTACTATATCAATGTAGATGAGATGCTATGGATAAGCATTCCAGTTGATTCTCTGCGGGAACCAGCCACTGTTCCCGTCACGCTCCCCAGCTTTCCAGAGATTGATCAGTATCAGTCGCCTGCCTGACAGCTCCAGAATTAAATGTCATTTAGCAAACCTGACAATTTGAGACTGACTGAAAAACAAGTGAGACAGGAAGGAGAGGGGAAAGAGTATGCAGGGTAGATAGGGTGGTTGAGAATGAGGAAGACAAAAAACTACACAGAGAGGGAGGGGGGTATATAGATAAGTCTTGAGACCTTGGAATCACCAGCATAACCCTGCCTGAGGACTTCAAGCTTTGCTCAAGGCATTTAAGACTACTTTATGAAGACAGGAGCCTGTGCCTAAAAAAGTTATCAGGAATGTTTTTAAATAAATGAAACCAAGACAAATGGAATGGTACTTAAGCATGTACTAACCACATGGATATAATATTTTCTAGCAAGCCTCCCATCATCCTACATAGATTTATAGCGATATTCGGCTCATTGTTAAGTTTACTGCTCTGGTACAATCTCACCGCTCTCAGTTTTGTTTTTAGCCACAACAGGCAGCTGTTTTCAGTGAAAAATCTTTAAAAACCCACTGTACACTACCTGCTCAGCACCAAACAGCAGACATGTTGTCTTGTGCGTCAGATAGAGAAACAATAACAAACAATTGCAAAAAGTAGTGATAGCAATATTTTAAAACCAATATAATTTAAACAAAAAAGAGGATTGACAAGATTGAGGGTTAAAACTTAAACAGATGTTGAGCCAGCCATCAATTCGCATTGAAGGAGCTGGGTTGGTGGTGGCATGCAGCTGAGCTAGTTGATTTTGCCTCGTTGCTGGTTTGACTGATGTTGCACGGCGGCCTGGGGGCGTGCTGCGCATGGGGGATGTCGGCTGGTGCGGGCGGCCTTAGTTTTTCCGGCGGTTGAGGGGACGGCGGACTTTCATTGGCGGATGCACGGTGACCTGCGCGGTGCGTTTGCTGCCGGGCTGGGTGTTTCTCTCCGCTGTCTTTCGCTGTTGTGTTCTGCCGCTCGCTCTCTCTCGTTTGCCCGACCTCGCACGCTTGCGCAGTGTGCACGTTGGACTCGTCACATGTGCATTGATGTTGATAATTGTGTGGCATTTGGGCGTTTTGATTGTTTGCTGCGCGGCGGTGGGGTGCTGGGTGGGGGGAGCACTGGTCTATGTTGTGTGCGCGCCGCGGTCGGTCCGGGCGCTGCTCTTCCGCGGGTTACGCCTCTTGCGTTCCGTCAGCATTACATTGTCAGCTGGCATTTGGATGGTCGTTTTTATTTTTTGACTTTTTATTTTTGGGCGTCTGTTGGTTGGGTCGGGGGCATCTGGAAGTCATATACATATATATGTATATTTTTTTGATTGATTGATTTTTTTCTTTCTCCCACCCCTATTGGCTACTGGGGTTCTTGCCTGCCTGTTGCTGGGGTAGGTGTGGCACAGTCGTAGCATCCCACTCTCACTAACAACTACATTCTTTAACAGGCTTATGCGCACACACATGTACACACACACAGACACATACAGACACATTCACCCACAGCACACAGACACACACAGTCTCACACATAGACACAAACAAATTTAGGTTGTCCCTGGTAGAATTATTCCTGATGCTTTTCTTTCAGTTACTTATTTAAATTAATTGTTATTATTCCAGCTCTCCTGGCTGTGCTGTGTTGCTTATTTAGTGTGCATGACTGTTTCTTGTTGTCATTTTTCTCTTAGTTGTCTTACTATGTCAGCTGTTTATTGCTGCTGTTTGGCTGGTTGTCTTTTACTATTATTATTATTATTGTTATTGTTTGTATGTTTGTTTTTGTTTGTATTTGTTTGTTGTTGTTTTCCTCCTCCCCAAGCCCCCCTTTCTGTTCTATTGCAGGTTTCGTTGCTTTCTGCAATTGGTGTTTCCCTCTGCTATTCCCTGTTGTCCACACCTTC